CAGGGGCTGGAGTTGTGGCTCAGTGGTAGAGTGCTCTCCCAAGTGTTACTGCTATTTTACCGGTGACGAGTCCTTGCTTCCCCAATGTTGAAGCATAACACCAGAGAAGCACGCCGAGGCAAGGTCAGAGTGGAAAGTAGAGGCTTTACTAAAGGACAGCAGAAAAGACTTCTCTSGGAGGAGGAAGGRGACCCAAGAGGTGGAATCCATGGAAGGGCGGTGTTTCCCCTTTTTATAGCTAAGATCTTCATTCAGCTTTTCTGCATTCCTGTCCTTTGTTCTGTTATCTTTCAGTGATGGAATGTAGGTGGGAAGGCCCAAAGGGTGGGGCACAGGTGGGCCAAAGGGGTAATCTGGGCAGGAAGGACTTTTGGATTAGCACCTCCATCTTTGCTGGGAGCTGTTTCATTAACTTTTCTTTGGGAGGGGCTCTGGGCCTTGGAGACAGTAACATTCCAAGAGTTGTTCAGCTTTTCCTGGACTCCATTCTCAACATGGCCTTCATTTTCGATTTTATTCAATATTAGACCCGATTACCTAACTACACTAATGACCTATCTTTAAATATGGCTTCACTGGCACATGTGAGGCACTGAGTTCCATCCTCAGCACCACAAAAAAGAAAATAAATAAAATAAAGGTATCATGTCCATCTCCAACTAAATATATGTATGTATATATAAATAATATGTATAAAATATATGTGTGTGTGAGAGTGTATATATATATATATATATATATATATATATATATATATATATATATAAAATTTAAAAAATGTAAAAGAGTAAACTCATAGATGAGTTCAGGGATAAAATAATCACCAAGATTATTAATTTGGATGTGCCAAGATCCAGACAGTGAAGAAAGCTGTGAGAGGAGCTGACACTTCTGTGGGCTGCACTTCAGGCGCTGTCTTGAAGCCAGGCCCTACCCTGAAAGAAATTGCCACTAACCACTTCCTGGGGCTGTGGCTTTGGCTTCCTGAGAAGCTCCAGGATAAGGCAGATGAGAGAATTCAAGAAAGGCTTGTAGATAAGGGAACTCACTCAAGCCTAGTAACTAGCAGATCATCTAGGTCACCTGCAGAAATCAACATCAAATGGATTAAAAACACAAATGTACCAAGTGAAACTCCAACAGAATTATTTTCCATTGTTGGAGAAACAAACAAACAATGACAAAACAATCCTGAGTCTTAACTCAGGTTGCTTTGAAAAGTACCATAGACTGGGTGGCTTAAAAAACAGTCATTTATTTATTTCAGTTCTGAAGGTAGGAAGTCCAAGATTAAGGTGTCAGCAGATGCAGGTCCTTGTGAGGGCCCCTTCCTAGGTGCCCTCTTGGTTGTTCTCCTGTGGCAGAGGGTGCGGGGAAGAAGTGCTCTGCTCCCTCTTCCTCTTCTTATAAGAACACAAATCTCATCATGCCTCCCCATGACCACATCCTAACTCCAATTACCTCCAAAGGTCCACCTCTAAAGATCATCACATGGTGGGTTACGGGTTTAGCATATGAATTTTGGGAGAACATAAACATCCAGTCTATACACCCTACAAATAAATAAAAAATAATACATGAAATCAGTGGAAAACTAGAAAAGCATCTGAACAAGCAAGTGAAAGAGGAAGAAAATGAATGCTAGATTATCTGAATTGTTGCATGGCATCACGGGTAATCAGAGAAATACAAGTTAACACAGCCAAGGGAAACAATTGACAGTTGAAAGATCCTGTCAAAAATTAAACAACTGGTGAAAAACCAGCCTCTACCTCAGAGTAAAGCCTGTCCAAGGAAGGGGATGTGACCCTTGTCCTTGGAAAGACCCACAGAGCACTCCTAGGCACATTCCCACCCTGCTGAGTTGTTTATCTACAAATAACAGGAGAGATCTGCTGCACCAGGTGTCCCTGACTCAGTCAGGCTAGGTGAGGACCCATAGCAACCCCCTAACAACCACCACTCAGCATGAGACAGGGAAAATACCTGGGATGCCAGATGACCCTCCCAGTAGTTTATGGTGGTTGATAACATGTTGGGAAACCATGTAGTTCAGCAGTACTCCCTTTGTGGCTTAAAACAATCAGTTCAAAGGAACCTCCCTCTTGTACTAACCAATCACCCTTACCCAACTTGTTCCTGCCAGTGAATGTGCTAATCATGTTTTAGAGTTGTTTTATGATTTTCCCACAGTGTGTGATGATTTGCTAAAAGATGATATGATGTATGTGAAGTCCCTGCCTTCCCCAAAGAGTGTATAAAACTGCTGCAAACCCTGGGCTTGGGGCTTCTCTTCCTCACCAGTTGCTGTGTGCACGTGGAGGACCGAGCTAGCTCTCAATAAACACCTCTTTGCTGCTTACATCGATCTTGGTCTCTGGTGGTCTTTTGGGGGTCCCGAATTCGAGCATAACACTGGTGAGCACAAGGGCAAATGTAGAACCCTGGTGTATTCCTGGGGAGTATAGAGAAGTGCAGGTAATGTTAGTGTTATATATTTGTGCAGCTGCTGTACAGGTCAGATTGAAGCCAGATTTAAAGTCAGGTAGTCAGTGTTGTTAGGTCGGGTCTAATATTGAGTGAAATCTAAAATGGAGGCCATGCTGAGAATGACTCAGGGAAAACACCGGACAACTCATGGAATGTTAATGAAGTCCCGAAGAGGCCCTAAGCCAAAGTCCACCTCAAAGAAGTGTTAATGAACAGCCCCCAGCAAACTTAAAGATAGCCCATCACAAAGAAGTGTCCCACCCCTCAGGCCTTCCAACCTACATTCCATCACCAAAACTATAAAAAGGGGAGACAATAGCCCTTCCACGGATTCCACCTCTTGGGTCCCCTTCTTCCTCCAGGAGAAGTCTTTTCTTCTGTCCTTTAATAAATTTCTAATCTCTACTCTGACCTTGCCTCTGCGTGCTTCTTTGGTGTTATTCTTCAACATCGGGGAAGCAAGAACTTGTCACTGGTCAACAGCGGTAACAAGATCCGGTAGACAAGAGACATTTTTTTTTCTTGGTAAGAGACAGCATTTATTTAGTAGTAATATGAAAACAAAAGCAATAACAAAAATGATAGTTGAGATGTAAAGAACAGAAAAATACGTCACTGGATCAGGGGAAACAGCTGAAGTCATATAACTGGGGAAACCCAGGGAAGCTTTTCAGGGTCCTAACTGGGAAGTCCCAGGAGGACAGAACACCTTCTTCAAGGGTGATACTCCAAAGTCTTATACCCAGTGGGGTTCCTTAAATACAAGTTAAAACAAAGAAAGCTTCTTTCTATAACCTGCAGGACCTACATATTCTCTTAAGGATACGTCATTCTCCCAAGGACTAGCCAGATCCCTGAGGGATGGAGTGTCAGCCTTGAGATAAGTGAATGACTCAAAGTTCTCTGGAATAAGCCCAACCCAGGGAGAAGTCAGCATCATTTAATTGTACCATCCAAATGTGCAAAGGTCATCGCAGGCACGTGGACAGGGAGGATCTTTAATATTTAACCCTTTAAACTGAAGGAAGTTCGGCTTTCCTAAGGGAATTTCCACACACAAAAACCTACAACCCACTTTGTTCTCGTGGTCACATAGTTTAGAGGCCCACTCTAATAGGTCCATTTTTTTTTTTTTTTTTTTTTTTTTAGAGAGAGAGAGAGACAGAGAGAATTTTTAATATTTATTTTTTAGTTTTTGGCGGACACAACATCTTTGTATGTGGAGGGCCCATTGAAAACTAAAAAAAATATTTTTAAAAAATATATCTATATCTTTGTAAAACAAGAACAAAGGTCAGGCAATTGGGGTAGATAGATGAATCATGTCAGGTCTGGAAGACTGAAGCTTGTTCAAAGAGAAATAGAATGTCGATACCTTCAGGACACATCCCCCTCACTCAAGGCCAAAGTCACCCACTTCTGGGGTATTGGAATGTTAATACCTTCCAGACAGTTCCCCCACCCCTAACCAACAACCAAAAAGTCACCTGCCTCTGGGGAGATTGTTCCTTCCAGCAGGGAATTATTAATGGGTGTTCCCTGGGTGGCTTCCCCTGAATTGCCCCTCTCTCACTTCCTGCCCCGCCCCCTGAATGGCATGGGCAGGATAAAAGGAGGGGCCTTTAGAAGTAGGAAACCTGGAAATTATAAAAAGGACAAGATTCACCCCCCTCCCATGAGCACCCAGCTCTGGCCCCCCTTCTCTGTGAACTCTATGTTACTACATATTAAATAAATAAAACTTCAGCCTTTCCTGGGTGTTCAATCTTCACATCTGGGGAAGGGAACTCATTGTCACGGGTAACCAGTGGTAACATGTGTTTGGGGGGGTAGTAGAAAAGCATCCCCTTTACTGGGTCCTGTTCACTGGTACTTCTTGTTCCACAGGGTTAAGGAAGACTTTAAGGAAAGAGAGGTTGTTAGGAAAAATCCAGGTGTAGTTGCTTTGCATGTTTCGGTGGGTAGAAGGGATGAAGTGAAGTGTGAAGGCCACTCACAACCTCCATTTTTGCCTCAAACTATGTCCTGGAACCCTGGGGTGGAGAAAGTGATACTGCCAGTTCTGCTCCCTCACATATTGAAGTTTGAACATTAGAGAAGCATGCCAAGGCAAGCATATAAAGCAAAATTATTAAAAAAGGGGTAATATAGACTTCTCCTGGGAGGGAGAAGGGGGCCATAGCTGGTATCCTGGTAATCCAGGAAGCAAGGTGTTCTGCCCTTTTTATATGTCCTAGGCTTCTTTTGTTCTCCAGCTTTCCTCTCCTTTTCTCTCTCTTTCCTAGGAATGCTCAGTGGGATGACCAAAAGTTGGGAAACAGGAAGGTTGGAGCTGGGGCAGGTTCCATAAGGGTGGAGGAAGGGCTGTGAAGGAATTAACATTTCAATCCCTTAGGGGACAGTCTTCAAATTCCCGGACTCACTCAAAATTGGCCTCCTTAATCTGACCTGACTCGATTTACCTACTTATACTGACTGCCTGTCTAATTCTGCCTTCAAAAGTGCCACTTTCATTGCTTCTTTTTGGGATTATTGACAGCTACATAGTGATAGAGAACCACAAACAAGAAGAGCAACACATGGACTGGGGATGTGGCTCAAGTGGTAACGCGCTTGCCTGGCATGCKCGGGGCGCTGGGTTTGATCCTCAGCACCACATACAAACAAAGATGTTGTGTCCGCCGAWAACTGAAAAATAAATATTAAAAAAAAAAAGAGCAACACACTCAGTATGTTGGCCAAGATGGYGAGCTGTATATCTGTGATCATCCTGAGGAGAAAGGGAGGGACTGAGCCTGCAGCCAGCATACTCCTGGTGCTCTCTAGGACAGGTCCTGGCCCCCGTGAGGGGATTCTATTTTAGAGTTTTATGGTTGGGGCTGTGTGATGTGGTGCAAATTTATAATCCTAGTGATTTAGGAGGCTGAGGCAGAAGAATCACAAGTTTGAGGCCAGTCTCAGCAACTTAGTGAGACCCTCAGCAATTGTGTGAGACCTATCTCAAAATGAAAAATAAAAAGGGGGGCTGGGGATGTGGCTCAAGCGGTAGTGCACTCGCCTGGCATGCGTGAGGCCCGGGTTCGATCCTCAGTTCCACATACAAACAAAGATGTTGTGTCCGCCGAAAACTAAAAAATAAATATTAAACAAAAAATTCTCTCTCTCACACACACACACACTCTCTCTCTTTAAAAAAAAAAAAAAAAAAGAAAAGAAAAATAAAAAGGGCTGGGAATGCAGCTCAGTGGTAAAGCACCCATTTCCCAGTACCAAAAAGAAAAAAGAAAATCCCAAACCAAAACAAACTGAAAAACCAGTCTCTATCTCAGAGCAAAGCCTGTCCAAGGAAGGGGGCGTGGCCCCTGTCCTTGGAAAGACCCACAGAGCACTCCTAGGCACATACCCTTGTTTATCTACAAATAACAGGAGAGATCTGCTGCGCCAGGTGTCCCTGACTCAGTCAGGCTAGGTGGGAACCCTTAGCAACCCCCTAGCAGCCACCAATCAGCATGAGACAGGGAAATACCTGGGATGCCAGATGACCCTCCCAGTAGTTTATGGTGGTTGATAACATGTTGGGAAACCATGTAGTTCAGCACTACTGCCCTCATGGCTTAAACCAATCAGTTCAAAGGAATCCCCCTCTTGTACTAACCAATCACTCCTACCCAACTTGTTCCTGCCAGTGAATGTGTTATTCATGTTTTAGAGTTGTTTTATGATTTTCCCGAGGTGTATGATGATTTCCTAAGAGATGCTATGATGTATGTGAAGTCCCTGCCTACCCCAAAGAGTAAATAAAACTGCTGCAAACTTTGGGCTTGGGACCTCTCAGTGTCACTGAAAAACCAGCCTCTACCTCAGAGCAAAGCCTGTCCAAGGAAGGGACATGACCTTTGTCCTTGGAAAGACCCACAGAGCACTCCTAGGCAAATTCCCACCCTGCTAAGTTGTTTATCTACAAATAACAGGAGAGATCTGCAGGCCAGGTGTCCCTGACTCAGTCAGGCTAGGTGGAGACCCATAGCAATCCCCTAGCAGCCACCAATCAGCATCAGACAGGGAAATACCTGGGATGCCAGATGACCCTCCCAGTAGATTATGGTGGTTGATAACATGTTGGGAAACCTTGTAGTTCAGCACTACTGCCCTCTTGATTTAAGCCAGTCAGTTCAAAGGAATCCCCCTCTTGTAGTAACCAATCACCCCTACCCAACTTGTTCCTGCCAGTGAATGTGCTAATCATGTTTTAGAGTTGTTATTTGATTTTCTCGCTGTGTATGATGATTTGCTAAGAGATGCTATGATGTATGTGAAGTCCCTGCCTTCTCCAAAGAATGTATAAAACTGCTGCAAACCCTGGGCTCGGGGCCTCTCAACATCACCAGTTGCTGTGCGTGCGCGGAGGACGGAGCTAGCCCACAATAAACACCTCTTTGCTGTTTACATTGATCTTGGTCTCTGGTGGTCTTTTGGGGGTCCCGAATTCCAGCATAACATCACCAGTTGCTGTGTGCACGTGGAGTACCGAGAAAGCTCGAAATAAACACCTCTTTGCTGCTTACATTGATCTTGGTCTCTGGTGGTCTTTTGGGTGTGCTGAATTGGAGCATAACAAAACAAAAGCCCCAAATAAATATATAACAAACAAAAATCCCAAAGTATTACAGTTGGATAAGTATCCCCTGCAAGGCTCATATATTAAAGGTCCCTCAGGCAGGGTTATTGGTAGGTGGTAAACTTTTAGGGCATGGGGCCTAGTGGAAAATCTTTAGCTCACTGGGGAACATGTCCCCTCCTCTGCATCTCTCTTTGCTCCCTGGTCATGAGGAAAGTGAGTAGTTTTGCTATGTCATGTGWTCCTACCATTCATTATGTACTGCCTCACCACAGGACCAAAGGCAATGRGTCCCAATGATCATGGACTAGAACCTACAAAACAGAGTCAAAATAAACCTTCTCTCTCTCTCTTTACATTCTCTTTTTATAGGTTAATAATCGTGAGTATTTGTTATAGTGATGGAAAGATGATTAACACAGATATACATGGTAATATATTGTAGAAACAAACTAGTGAAGCCAGATTTAAAAATAGGTAGTCAGTGTAGTTAGGTAAATCAGGTCTAATATCCAGTAAGATCCAAAATGGAGGCCATGTTGAGAATGAAGTCCGGGAAAAGCAGGACAATTCATGTTAATGTCCCCAAGGCCCAGAGCCCATCCCAAAGAAGTGTTAATGAAACAGCTCCCAGCAAACTTGAAGATGCTGACCCAAAAGTCCTTCCTGCCCAGGTTATTCCTTTGGTCCACCTGTGCCCCACCCTTGACAGAACAAAGGACAGGAATGTGACAGGAATGCGGGAAGGCTAAAGAAGGCCTTAGCTATAAAAAGGGGAGACAACCGCCCTTTCCACGGATTCCACCTCTTGGGTCCCCTTCTTCTCTGGGAGAAGTCTTTTCTGCTGTCCTTTAATAAACTTCTACTTTTCACTCTGACCTTGCCTCCTCACGCTTCTCTGGTGTTATACTTCAACATTGGGGAAGCAAGGACTCATCACGGGTAAAGAGCGGTAACACTAAGTGATGATAAATAAGAAAATGGTAAATAAGATGTTTTATGAGAATAATCTATGGCAATCTGAAGCCCTGAATTAGACTTACACATAGTTTACAGATAGATCCTAAAAACATTGTCAAAGAGATGAAATAGTCCAGTGTCACAAAGTTAATAAGTAATGGAGTTGGGTCTAGAACAAGGTTAGCCATCCTAGTTCTGCTTGTCATAGCAAAATGTTGTCAACAGCCCAAGTGAATGTCAGTTGGGATCAGGTGAAATAAACCAAGAAGCATCCATGCAATGCAATATTATTCCCAAGAAACAATAAATCTAATCTTTATGCTGATTGCAAAAATATGGCTATTTTTAAAACGTATGGAAAAAGATGGAAAGAACTACCTTAGAAAATTAATCTAGGCCTGAGTCAGGACCGGCTATACCTGGTCCCACCCTCAGTGCTGAGGTTCTAGAGACAGGATCAACCCCAAATCAGCCTCTGATCATGTATCCTCATGGGACAAGGCCCTTCTGCAGGGGTAAGCACAATGAAGTCGTAGAGATGACATGGCTGGGTAATGGCCAAGCCCAAATCAATATTTTTGAGCACTGGCTGCCAAGCATCTTTTAAACTGCCCCTTTACCTCTACCCAGGTTTCCAGCTGCGCTCACCTTTCAAATATTAAGGAAATTTTTTCCATCCTGTAAACCAGTAACATCAACTACAAAGATTTAGGAAAAATACTACTTTTAAGTATACATTTATTTATTATTTCAGGAAATAAATTGCAACTTTAAAGTCACAAAAGTCAATGCAGTGCAGAGCAATGGCAGAAGGTAGACTTTCCAGCTCCTTCTCCCATTGACAAGGAATGTTTGTATAAAGGGAAGAGACCATAAGCTTGGGGTATGAGCAGTGAGGTTAGGTGGTAATGGGCAGGACCAATATCTATTCTTATGCAGATATGGGAGGTGTGTGTCTGAGGAAGATACTTCTGGATTCATGGAGTTTATGTTTCAGAGCACAACTGCAGGAACCAAATGTTCAAGGAGAATCACATCAATGATGATTGCTATGGTGGGGATGGTGAGCTAAGGAGACAGCTCTGGGAAGGTCAATGAGGGGGCTTGACGCCCCTCCAAMCTCTGACCCTGCTGATGGTCTCCAGAATGCCTCTTTCTTTCCCTGACAATAGGCTCTGTGACCTCATCCGCTTTACCCCATTAGGGTGAGGGGCTCAGATATATGTGCTGCACATGGCACATGTATATCTGTACCACCACAACCGCCCATTACTGGAAGGTTCCATCTCCTGCAGGCCTGATCTCCACAAGCTCCATGTCCTATAACTGATTCTCCCCAAGCCACTGATAGGTCAGGTAATCTCTGCAAGGTGGAGATCAGAGAGGTGGTGGATCATGCATATTTAGGGGGTCTGAAAAGGGTAAGAGAAAATTTAGGGAGTTTGGTTTCCTTCCTGTAGACCATTTGTRCAGGAATCATGTGGCCACCCTGGGACTGGATAGGAGAATTTGGTAGCAGGGATGGAGCACAAAACCTAGACACCGGCTTGGATGCAGGGATCTGGGATAATCTACTCCAGTTCTGGTTCTGGGCAGAGGTGAGATGCTCCAGGTCTGAGAGGAGGAAAGGCAGCTTCTGATTCTGACCCAGAGTCAGGCTCCTAAAAGGTTGTGAGGTGGAGCTAGAGAATGGGGAAGGAGAAAGTCTTCCCTGCACAGCCTGGTTTTCAAGGCCATGCTGAGGTCAAGGCCAACTCCCCTTCCAGATAGGCCTTCTGGTGTTCCATCACGTCATTCACCAGCTTCCTGCTACTGCGCTTGCGCTAGGATCTGTCTGTAGCACAGGTCCTCATTCTCGAAGTTGAAGGCGCCATTCAGGTCCCAATTCTCCGCCTGAAATCACCTGAAGAGGGTGAGAACCAGGTAGTCCCAGGTCAACCCTATTTACCCTCCTGCCCAAGACAGCCTGTGATTGGCCAAAGGCGATGTCAGTTACAACTCGGATTGGAAATAAAACCCACCGAATAAAATAAAAATCCTGCAGGCTCATCCCAGGTGTGAGGTGTCTTGTGGGTGACTGCCTCCCCAGAGAGTCCTACCAGTCGGTGGGGGCATGGGTAGATGTGCCTATCCCCCTCGTTGGCCGAGCTTTCTGGTTGTGGGAGCCGCGCTGAGTCCGCAGGTTCCCTCC